GAGTGCTTGGTGCGCTGTTTGTGGAACAATGTGTTACCAGTCTTGTGTGTCAGCTGTTCAAGTTTCTACCATGTCTAAGTCTGCCAGTTCAAGATATAAATCCAAATGCTCTTAGGAAACACTTCAAATTCAGTAAGGGAGAGAAATGGTGGTAGTCAAGACAAACTCAGAGTGAGGAAATAGAGAAAACTTTAAATTTTGCACCACCAGGAGGGATAATAAAACGATTAATTTTGGAAATATTAAGCTTTGATGAGCAAAGATCACCAGGTGACCTTGGCAACTGAGCCAAGCAATTTGAGTGAAAGTTTTAGGGTGTTTCCAGGAAGTACCACTCCATTCAACTCTATCAGAAATATAATTTGTAAAGATTTTTCACCTCATTCTGTGGCTTGACTTCTCACTTTCTTCATAATTTCCTTTGATATGAAAAATATTTGAATTTTGACAAATGCTAATTTATCTAGTTTTTCCTTTGGTGACATACCCAAGAAATCATAGCCAAATCCAATGCCATTCCTCAATGTTTTCTTCTAAGGGCTTCATACCTGTATTTTGCAAGTTTGGCTCTTGGACGTGTTTTGAGGTTTCTATGTGTACGTGTGTCTGTGTGGTTTAAGGTAGAGAGGTCTAACTTTATTCTTTTGTAGATTGATGCGTAGTTTTATCAGCATTGTTTGTTGAAAAAACTGCACTTTTCCCATAAATGGTCTTAGACAACCTTGTCAAACAACATTAATTTGTGTTAATTTTTGTATTCTGTTCTATTTCACTGGTCTTTCTATCTGACTTTACCCCATTATTCATGTTATTTTGATGATAATAGCTTTGTTGTAAGTTATGAAATCTGTAATTGTGAGAAATCTAAATGTGTTCTTTTTATTTTTTCTTTTCCAAGACTTGCTGGGGTATATACAAAGTTCTATCAAATGTATAGATCACTTTGGTTAGTATTGTCATTTTAATATTCATGAACATGGTTAACTTGCTAATATTTGTGTCTTTATTTTCTTCAAACAAAATTTTAAAATGACACATTTCTTTTCTCTTTTGGTTATTTCTGAGTATTTTTGATAATATTTTCAATGAAATTGGTCTTTAAATTTTCTTCCCAAACTGTTCATCATTCATATATAGAATGGAAGTAATTTTTCTGTGTTGACATTTTATCCTACACTTTTGCTGTAATTGTTCTTTAGCTCTAAGCAGTTTTTTAAAAAATTTTATCTTCATGGATTTCTACACACATGAATATGTCATCTCAGAACAGAGATAATTTTAGTTATTTTGAAGTATAGTATTTCTTTTTTGTTTGTCTTCTTATTTTAGTTGAAACTACCAATTCTAAGTTGACTAGAAGAGGCACATGCAAGTAAAATTTCATATTATTCATCTTAACAAGAAATACTTTTCAGAGTGAAGAAAGAGGACAAGAGGAAGTCAGGGAGGAAAGAGGAGTCTTGAATTATACACAAGCATTCTCTTGTGCCACACGTAAGCAATTACTTTTATTTCCCCTCAATCACGCCCTTGAAGAGACTCATCAGTGTACATAGAACAGCAAATATTTGCTCATCAAATGGTATTTTGATGTGGATTTTTTTAAGAAATAAAAATTTGAGGCCAGCATTATTTGTCTCTAAGAGATGGTCTCGTTTAGTGGTTTTCAGTGGTGTGAGTGGGCTGATACTCTGTTGGCAGTTGTTGAAGAAGAAAGTGGAATCAAGAGGCGAGGTTCCTTGTTAGGGCAGATGACTGCCTGCCTCTGAGATCAGAGAAACAGTCCGCAGAGAAGGGAAAACCTATGGTGCAGCAGATGGAGGAGGGCTGATTTGAACCACACCCACATTAGCTACTTTTGCTGCTCCAACAAATGACCAAAAACTTTGTGGCCTGAAACAACAATACTGTTACACTTCTGGAGTTCAGAAATTCAACATCTTGTTCAATGGGCTAGCAGGTCTGCATTTCTTCTTGAGTTCTTAGGGGAAAACCTACTTGGTTGCCTTTTCCAACTCCTAGAGAACTCCATCATCCATTGCCTTGGGGACTATTTCACCATCTTCAAAGCCATCTGCATAGCTTCTTTGGCTTAGTTGGCTTAAAACTCAACATTCAGAAAACTAAGATCATGGTATCCGGTCCCATCACTTCATGGCAAATAGATGGGGAAACACTGGAAACATTGTCAGACTTTTTTGGGAGGGCTCCAAAATCATTGCAGATGGTGACTGCAGCCATGAAATTAAAAAACACTTGCTCCTTGGAAGGAAAGTTGTGACCAACCTCGACAACATATTAAAAAGCAGAGACATCACTTTGCCAACAAAGATCCATCTAGTTAAGGCTATGGTTTTTCCAGTAGTCATGTAAGGATGTGAGAGTTGGACTATAAAGAAAGCTGAGTGCAGAACAATTGATGCTTTTGAACTGTGGTGTTGGAGAAGACTCTTGAGAGTCCCTTGGATTGCAAGGAGATCCAACCAGTCCATCCTAAAGGAGATCAGTCCTGAGTGTTCATTGTAAGGACTGATGCTGAAGCTGAAGCTCCAATCCTTTGGCCACCTGATGCAAAGAGCTGACTCATTTGAAAAGACCCTGATGCTGGCAAAGATTGATGGTGGGAGGAGAAGGTGTCGATAGAGGATGAGATTTTTCGATGGCATTACCAACTCAATGGACATGAGTTCAGGTAAACTCTGGAAGTTGGTGATGGACAGGGAAGCCTGGTGTGCTGCAGTGTATGGGGTCGCAAAGGGTCGGACATGACTGAGCGCATGAACTGAACTGAACTGATAGCCTCTTTGAGTCTCTCATCTGAAGCTCCTATATTCCCACCTCCTCTGTGACTATAACTCTCCCAGGCCCCATGTATGAGAGATTCATGATGACAACAGGCTTACCCGGGTAATCCAGGAACATTCCAATACCTTTATCTTAATTATCTTTACAGATAATTTTTTTATCTATATAAGATAAAGATAATTAACTCTTTTAATTAATTAATTTATTTATTTTTCATTTATTTTTATTAGTTGGAGGCTAATTACTTTACAATATGGTAGTGGGTTTTGTCATACGTTGACATGAATCTTTATCTTAAAGTCCTTCTAACCTGTCAGTTCTTGTAGCTATTCTGCTCAACACCTGTATTATTTTCCATTTCTCTGAGATTAAACTCCTTTCTAAAGCCTAATGACACAGGCCCACTGGCCCCACTGGTCCTCTGGCCTTATCTTCAATTTCTATCTCTCCACCTCACTGAACTCCACCCACATCAGCTGACTTTCTGGCCCTTAAATGTTACATAACACTCTTTCTCCCTGAACTTAGCATTTTCTGCTCCAGGGAAATGAAGGGAGCCAGTATCTCTGTTTCAAGGCTGTTTCTTGTACAAATGAAAAGTTGTGTGGGATGAAGGGTAGTTGGTGCCTAACAGATGTACAGAAATGTGAGAGATTATGCAGAATTATCTCCAAGAAACACTTACCCATCTCTAACAGCTAAGTACTCCTGATTTCATTCATAGTCTCATCCTCCACTAGGCTATCAACTAAAGACATTTCTTATTTTAATTATTGATATTTATTGATAAAACAATGTCCAACTAAAGAATGTTCAATAAAGCTTGCTGACTAAATAAATGAATGACAAAACATGTAATAACTAACTAAAATACTGAGCAAAAAAAAATATATATGTATACATATGTCTGAATCATATTGCTGTACAGCATAAATTAACGCAACATTTTAAGTCAACTATACTTCAATAAGTTTTTTTTTAATAATAGATAACTTCTAATAGTTTTGGGGTTTTGTTTTTTAATATTTATTTGGCTGCACTGGGTCTTCATTGGGGCACACAGGATCTTCAGTTGCAGCTTGTGAGAGAGTTGAATTACAATGTTTTGTTAATTTCTGCTGTGCAGCAAAGTGATTCAGTTATACATGAAAATATATATATATATTCTTTTCCATATTCTTTTCCTTTATATTTACCATAGGATATTGAATATGTAATAGCTATCTATGTGATTATAATAGCTCCTACAACAGTAGAACTTTGTTGTTTATCCATTCTATATATACCAATTTGCATCCGCTCACCCCAAACTCCCAATCCAACCCTCTCATACCCCCTTCCCCCTTGGAAACCACCAGGCAATACTTGACAGCTTACAAAAATACTTATGTTAAGTAAAAAATAAGTATACAACCTGTATATTGAAGATGATTTCAAATTGTAAATAAGTAAACACACACATTTGTATAGGTAAGTCATGAAAGTATGAAATGAAATGTATTTATTTCATGACAAAAAATTTTAAGCATAAAAAATTCTTCTCTGCCCTTTGACTTCATCTCTCCCTCACTGTGAGTTGTATGTCTGCATTATGCATGGGCCAGACCTCCCCCATCAGTGGGAACACCTGCTCAACCATGAAAAGCAACATTCTCCCAGCATCAGTAAGACAGCTCTTTAAAAGGTAAATTCCTTCTTGACCTTGTAAGGGCTCACATGATCCACCATAATGATGCTTAGAGCTGGATTATGTATACTGTTAATAATGTATTTTCATGCAGAGCCCTCTGTCTCAAAACCTTCCATACCTGTGCCTGACTTCTAGAGGACAGAACAGTTCTCAGAGCTTCCTGGGTTACAGTTCTCAAATTTGACTCAAATAAAATTTTCCATTTCTTTCTTAGGTCAACTGATGCATTTTTCCACACAGGAAAACACACCAAACTTATTAAATGGGTTAATCAGAGGTTATCTTTATTTTCTATCATTTCCCTTTTATTTTCCAAATATTTTGTTATCAGGAAAAACTAATATCCTTATTTGAAGTCTTTATTATTTCACAAATTTTTTTTTAATAAAAGCAAGCTTTCAGAAGTTAAGACACTTCTTTTAAACACCTCCACCAAGTACAGAAATGCTCTTCACAGCCCTAGAAGCCAGAAATTCTAGTAGAATGCATGGTAGATATCTCATAGCTAATATTCTTCAGAATATGGATACTCAGGGTGATCGATAACACTGGAAGAGAAAGAGGAGCACTAATTTATTAAATCAGTTCATGTTGTCATAGCGAGTATTACTCTGTGATGTGGTCACGATGGGCTAAAACTTGAAATCTACAAAACACGTCCCTCCTTCTCCCCCAGCAAGCACACATGCAGGTGTCTGCTCCAGGTGCACATGGAACCTGCACATCCAGTCCCAACACTCACATGTAATATTCACTCCACAGTGATGGGTAGTTTGACTCAGGTTACAATTTGTATGATAGCAAAAGACCTATGGCTAACTGTGGAGGTCATTTCAGTCCTGGGTGTAACTTTTGACCCAAAATGATGAGAATTATCACAGCTAAAGAATTAGTTGCTCTTTTTCATACATCCATCAAAAAAAATATCAAGGATCACCCAAAAATACAGGGTGCGTCCATTAAAGAATTTCCAATTTATTGAAGAGATACCAAGTACACCTAAATAATCATAACTACCAAATATGATTACTGCTTTCTTAATTTATAATTTATGGAACACTTCTTATTCATTTGTTAGTATTACTGCTATTTTCTGTTTTTTCTCATGTTCTGATTTTTCTTTCTAAATTTGTCCTTTTCAGTTCAATTCATTAAAAAGTATATTCTGAGCAAATCCATGTGCCAGGAGCTGTGCTGTTGACATAAAGCCACAAAGATAAATAAGTCTAGGCATTCAAGACTAATGAGGGAGAACATAGATTTATACTTAGAATCTTTTGAGTACAGAAAAGTAGCTTTACACATTTTATTCATTTATCATGTGTTTTCTTAGAATTATGATATAGCTTTACAAACAAGAAGGGGAGTTTTGGGATCTTTCATTTGTAACTGTCTTCATTTTATCACTAATTTGTGTTCCCTTCTCTCTAAACTCCCTTCCAGCTTCTCTCTGATTAGTCTTCTATCACTTCAATCCTGGCATCCTTCTGCAGTAATTAGCTGGAATTCTGCATTAGTAAATAAGTCAAAGTCCAAGAGGTGGAGGCTCCCCAGGGGATGGACCAGTTATGGACAAAGGTTACACTGGGATGAGTCTTGACTCAGGAAATCAGAGACCTGGATGATCTTACCCGGGTGTGTCCTGCTAAGGACACAGCAGTCACTGACTAGAGGGTCAGTTAAGCTCATGCTCTATGGGTAATTCAGTTTTGTGAGATAACAAGGATGAGGATATGGGAGTTGTAATAGGGGTAAAAGCCCAGTGAAGAGATAAACATGACATAAATGGATGGTGTTTTGGAAAAGAAATGCCCTTTAGGGAGAAAATCCACCAGACACTAGAAGGAAGGGTGGAGGCAGGTCCACTGTGAATTCTCAGCACTGATGCATGTTGCCCTTCATGGGCTCCCCTCCATAAAAACATTGATATGACATTTTAAAACTGTGTTAGGATAAAAGTGAATATGGGCTTCTCTGGTATCTCAGACTGTAAATAATCTTCCTGCTTTATGGGACACCAGGGTTCAATCCCTAGGTTGGGAAGATCCCCTGGAGGAGGGAATGGCAACCCACTCCAATATTCTTGCTTGGAGAATTCCATGAACAGAGGAACCTGGTGGGGCTACAGTCCATGGGGTCACAAAAGAGTCAGATATAACTGAACAACTAACACTTTCATTTTCAATTTCAAACAGGAATATAATCCAGGGCAGAGTCATTATTACACAGTCACTATTAATCTGATCATTTCACCCAATTTTAAAAAGAATTAAATATGAACATTTTTTCATAGAGCTTTAAAGTACTAGGCACTGTGCTCCATGTGTCTACTAGGTCCCTCAGCCCTGCGAGGTGGTACACCAGGCACAGCAATTAGGGGCACAAAGTAGTGAATTCACCATGATGTCAACTCTGGGGATTTTGCTGATGGGCTGTCCTGGGCCCCAGTCACATTTCTGTTGGTCAGAGACAGAACCCTGGAGGGAACCTCTGCTCTGAGGTCTACAGGAAGCATCTGGTTTACTCTTACACTGGAAATTAGAACAGTCTTCCTAGAATTAAGCTTTTAAAAATCCTCGTTCCCCTGCTGACCCGCCTGTTATAGTAAACAGTGTATGTGTGAAACATCTGCAAGTCACTTACGGTAGAAATTCATAATATCTCATATTTCCATTGATGCCATCGATTGCTTTCATGTCTTCTGGAGTCAGTTCAAAGTCAAACACCTGGAAGGAAAGAAGAATAATATCAACCTCTCCTCCAAGCAGCCGGCCTCCCCCTGAGGACTGGAGGAGTTTCCACGGAGGAGACAAGAAGAGGGAACAGGGAAGCCGAGTCTATCCTCAGCTTTCAGGTGAACAAGCCTGCGACCCTCTGCTGAGTTCTCACCTCTTCTTCCCACACCTTCTCTTTCTCTGTCCACCTCACAAACATTACAGTGCTTCAGCCTTTCTAAGTGAATCACTTGAGACAGAAAAAAACTAAACTCCTCTTTTTCCAAACACACAGCCTTCGGACACTCCAGACTGAGAATCTGCTCCCAGAAAAAGTGGTGAGTCATTTCTGAGCCCAGATGTGAAGATTTTCCCCCATTCACTGATGAGGGGACATAGTGCTGTGCTGAAGCACGCTAACCTGTGAAGAATTGGTTAGTTGCCACAGTTAAGCCAAATATATATGAAAATATATACAGAGAAGTTTTCAGGCTCCTCTGACAAGAGCCACATCCATCTGCTAAAGCAGAACTGCTGAGTTGCTCTGCACTGAACTGCAAATGCACAAGAGAGCCCAGCCAAGAAGACTATAGCTAAGCTGAGTGCAGGCTGTTTGCCAAACCACACAATCAAGAGACAAATATAACTGATCTCTGCATTAAATCTTGAAAATGGGGAGATTTTCCTGTACAGCTATGGCTAAGGGTACAACAATGGTCTCCTACACACAAATCAAAAGACAACTCAGCAAAAATGGACAGTCTTGAATAGGAACTTTGCAACAGCAGAAACTCAAGGAGATTAAATGCATGAAAGTGAAACATTAGTATGTGGGGAAATGCAAAACAATACCACAATGATTTGTTAAGTTCACGATCACTGCTAAAATTTGTATGGCCCCAAATTCACATGATGGGACCTCACCCCACTGAGATGGTGTTACAAATTGGAGCCTTTGAGGGTGATTAGGTCATGATGGTGGAGCCCTCAAGAATGAGATTTAAACAATATCATATTCATATAACAGACTTGGGAGAGCTCTGCTGCCCCCTCCACCATGTTAAGATACAAGGGAAAGCCTGTTACCTGGAGGAGGGCCCTCACCTGACCACACAGGCATTCTGACCTCAGACCTCCAGATTTAGAACTGTGAGAAACAAATACCATTTTTTTCTAAGCCACCCAATCTTAAGTATTTTGTTAGAGCAGCCTAAGTGGTCTGCTCTAATCAAATAATGTAATTTTGTCAATTAAGAATGAAGAAAATAAGATGTCATTTGTACAAGGTGACAGAATAAATTAGAGACACAGTGCTGGAACTAAAATCTCTATTTTCTGTCCAACCTCTCCAGCCATGCTGCCTCTCCTGTTGCCATGCAGGAGGAGAAAACCATCAGAAACACACACAAGGCATTCATGCACTGGGAAAAACAGGTAACTTGTCTAGACTCAAGGATAGTCCAAGAGCTGGACAAAGAATGACCCTTGTGAAGTATATTCCTTAGGAGCCCTTTGCCCATAGCCCCACTCATCATCACCTGTATGTTCTCTTTGATCCTCTTCTTATTGAAACTCTTGGCCAGAACCACAACCCCACGTTGTATCTGGTAGCGAAGGGCAACCAGAGCTGGGGTTTGCTTGTGCTTTTTGGCAATGGCACAAAGAACTGGGTCCTCCAAAAGATTAGGGTGGTTCGGGTTCACCCTGGAAGGAAATCCAAAAATGCTGAGGAGTTGAGACTGAATACTCAGTTTCTAAGGAGGCTTCTCAAATAGACAAAATAGGTCTACTGTAGACCCGTGCTTCTCAAAGGGTGGTCCAGGGACCAGAAGCACCAGTATCACCTGGGATCTTGTTAGAAATAAAATTCCATGGCTTAGCAGAAGACAAACTGAATCAGAACCTCAACTGTGTCATTTCCCAATCTGCATTTACAAAGTTCTCACAGTCATTTGGATGCATGCTTGAGCTGAGATCAGTACTGCCAAACTTGTGGATTTTTTTCTTTTTTCTGTTTTACCTCTCAGTGGCTTTTTTTCTTTAACAATCATAGCTCTAAAATAAGTACAAGGGCAATAAAATAAAAAGAGATGGAGCCAGGGAAATGTTTTTGTTTTCAAATTTCACTTTTCTCAAGTGTTGATAAAAATTGAGTAGTCCAAAAATGAGAACTCTTTATTTCATCATTATTTGCATTGTGCAATACTCCAACAAATCAGTTTTCACTAAAATGATTCAATTTGCTATTTTTTTCTATCATCATAGATCTGGGTTGTTGTTTAGTCACTCAGTCATGTCTAACTATTTGTGACCCTGTGGACTGCAGCATGCCAGGCTTATCTGTCCTTCACCATATCCTGGAGCTTGTTCAAACTCATGTCCATTGAGTCAGTTATCCATCCCACCATCTTGTCCTCTGTCATCCCATTCTTCTCCTGCTTTCAATCTTTCCCAAATCAAGGTCTTTTCTAATGAGTTGGTTCTTTGCATCATATGGCCAATGTATTGGAGCTTCAGTCAACATCAGTCCTTCTAATGAATATTCAGGACTGATTTCCTTTAGGATTGACTGGTTTGATCTCCTCGCAGTCCCTGGGAGGTACATTTCTTATCCTGATTTTAGATATAAGATGAGGGAGACTTGAAACGTTTATTACTAGCACCGTGTTCATTTGTTAAAAAAATAAGTAAGTCATGACTTAAGTTTATCTCTTAAGTGTTCAATGCAGAGACACTTGCTTTAAAATCTACATACAACAAGACACATGAAATGTAAAAAAATCAATTTGGCTTGTGATGGTAAGACAAAACAGAAGGATTTTTGTCCCATCTCTCTTCTCTTCCCTATCAGTTAAAAGTTATCTGCAGAGCACTGTGTTCAGTTCAGTTCAGTTTAGTCACTCAGTCATGTTTGACTCTGCAACCCCTTGGACTGCAGCACGCTAGTCCTCCCTGTCCATGACCAACTCCCGGAGTTTACTCAAACTCATGTCTATTGAGTTTGTGATGCCATCCAACCATCTCATCTTCTTTTGTCCCCTTCTCCTTTTGTCTTCAGTCTTTCCCAGCATCAGGGTCTTTTCAAATGAGTCAGCTCTTCGCATCAGGTGGCCAAAGTATTGGAGGTGTCAGCTTCAGCATCAGTCTTTCCAATGAATATTCAGGACTGATTTCCTTTAGAATGGACTATTTTGATCTCCTTGCAGTCCAAGGGACGCTCAAGAGTCTTTTCCAACACCACAGTTCAAAAGCATCAATTCTTTGGCTCTCAGCTTTATTTATAGTCCAACTTTCACATCTTTACATAACTACTGGAAAAACCAGAGCTTTGACTAGATGGACCTTTGTTGGCAAAGTAAGGTCTCTGCTTTTTAATATTCTGTCTAGGTATGTCATAACTTTTCTTCCAAGGAGCAAGGGTCTTTTAATTTTGTGGCTGCAGTAATCATCAGCAGTGATTTTGTAGCACCCCCCCCCAATAAAGACTTTTAGTGTTTTCATTGTTTCCCCATCTATTTGCCATGATGTGATTGGACTAGGTGCCATGATATTAGTTTTCTTAATGTTGAGTTTTAAGCCAGCTTTTTCACTCTCCTCTTTCACTTTCATCAAGAGACTCTTTAGCTCTTCTTCATTTTCTGCCATAATGGTGGTGTCAAATGCATATCTGAGGTTATTGATATTTCTCCCAGAAATCTTAATTCCAGTTTGTGCTTCATCCAACCCAGCATTCTGCATGATGTTCTCTGCATATAAATTAAATAAGCAGGGTTACAATATACAGGTTTGATGTACTCCTTTACTGATTTGGAACCATTCTTTTGTTCCATGTACAGCTCTAACTGTTGCTTCTTAACCTTCCTACAGATTTCTCAGTAGGCAGCTCCTGTGGTCTGGTATTCCTGTCTCTTTAAGAATTTTCCACAGTGTTGTGATCCATACAGTCAAAGGCTTTGGTATAGTCAATAAAGGAGAAGTAGATGTTTTTCTGGAACTCTCTTGCTTTTTCAATGACCAATGGATGTTGTCAATTTGATCTCTGGTTCCTCTGCCTTTTTTAAATCCAGCTTGAAGATCTGGAAGTTCATGTACTGTTTAAGCTTAGCTTGGAGAATTTTGAACATTACTTTGCTAGCACATGCAATGAGTGCAATTATGTGGTAATTTGAGCATTCTTTCATATTGCCTTTCTTTGGGATTGGAATGAAAACTGACCTTTTCCAGTCTTGTGGAACCCCATGAACAGTATGAAAAAAAGCACTGTGTACATTATTATAAAAATATTTCACCAAAATTTGAGTTTTATGGACTTTCCTGGTTGTCCAATGGTTAAGACCATCTTCCAATCCAGGAGTTGGGGGTTTGATCCCTGGTCAGGGAGCTAAGATTCCACATGCTTTAAAGCCCAAAAACCAAAACAGAAAACAGAAACAGTATTGTAACAAATTCAGTAAAGACTTTAAAAATTGAGTTTCAGAGTAACTTCCTGTGGCCTTCAGTAATGTTCATACCATTGTGATAACCGTTGGGATCCCAGAGCACCGTAGGCAACTAGGACAATATCGTGTGACTTGCAGAACTCCAGCAGTTTGCTCTGGTTGAGATAAGGGTGACATTCCACCTGTAGAATGCCAACAGACAAGAGTGTCAAGTTGTATGAAAAGGTAATATGCCAGAGGAAGCCTAAAAGCAAAAATTACATATGCTAAAGAAAAATAACTGTGCAAATCAAATTACAACTGGAAACGTCAATCTCAAGTAATGATTTTTTTTAAAAAAACAAATTTTATCTCTGTTCCCTGAAAAGATTAAAAAAATAATAATTCCTGAGAACAAGCATCTCTAGGAACCAGATCTTGGTTACTAAATACCACTGAACCCCACCAAGACATATTCCTAATTCCAGACTGGAGACAGAAAAAGAGCTGTTAGAATCTTGGGACTATAGGATCTAATGTAATGGGAGGGGATCTAGTGTGATGGGAGGGGGAGGTCCCACTGGTGGCATTTGAGTAAGCTTGAGCATCAAAAAGAATCATTAGTGAAAACAAATGTAGCACAGAGAGTCAATAAAAATCCCTGAGGCTCTAGTGATGAGAGTGGGAGAAAGAACAAAACTGTTTTCCTCCATGGGTGATATTACAATAAATCCTTTCTCAGAAAGTGACAGTTAATGGGAAGGAGTTAAGTTTTTATCCTGTCTTACAGGAATAAGAACATTTTATGTTATTTAATGAGGGAATTTTGTCTTTACAGTAAAATGTCAGGTCAGGAGATTAAAAATATTGCTTAAAATTGAAAATATTGAAAAACATCCCAATGAAATAATTAATGCAGGTGGAAGTCATTGAAGGATACTCAACCATTTTGTGAAAATTTGGGGGAAATCAAAATTCCCCTGATCAAAGTTATTATCCAACAGATGACTCGATAATTTCAACAGGAAAATACACACTTTCAAACAAAAAACTCTAGCTACCAGTAGCTTTACCAAGAGAAAAAAATATCACTACTCACAAAAGGACAACTTGTCATCACATGCTTCCTACTCAGGTGTATGTGAGAGGCACAGCACTCAAAGGACACCCATGGCTGATTCATGTAAACTTATGGCAAAAACCACCACAATATTGTAAAGTAATTAGCCTCCAATTAAAATAAATTTTTAAAAAGTAAAGATTTATGGAGAATGTCCCTGCCCATCAGAACAAGGGGGGAAAAAAGGACATTTTCTTGTCAAATGTTTAACCTTAATGTAGTAAGAAGTTCAGATTTAACTACTAATTTACATAAACTAGAAACAAACAAGTTAATTAATGTCACAAAGTAATGATGATAAATACAGTGTGTTGTCGAGAACTTGTCTCGCTATCTTCACAACATAATGATTGAGTGACCATTCTAGGTTAAAAACCATGAAAAATATGACTCAAAGTGACATGCGAACCACATCAGGTCCAGATCATCAAAACATAATATATATATATTTATTATATAAATGCATAGAATTAAATATATATATTTTATACATATATATATACACACACACTGTTGTATCTTTAACTGTTCTAATATCTGAAATTTTTCACAATGAAAATATGGAAGTAAAACTGATACCAGAATGACATTAACTTATACAACTAAAAAAAACTTTTATTAAAAACTCTCAACTTTTATAACTAAAAAAAATATATATATTTATATATTTATATATATATATATTATATATATATTTCTTGAATTGTGTAAACTGCACTTTCCATATAACATTCTTTTTCCTTGACTCTAAACTGTAAATTAAAGATATTATGGTGCATACGAAATAAGACCATTGCAGAAGGGTGAAGATTACATGACACATGTATCACATCTCAGTTATATGGCATATCTTGATCTGTCAAACTTAGAATTAAACAGCAGAGAGATGGTCGCCAGAGGCTGGGATGAAAGGGGAATCCAGAATCGATAAGCATGATGTGAAGTCTCAATTATACAAGATGAATGAATTTTAGATCTGCTTCCAACACTGTCTCTATAATAAACAACACTGTATTGCATTATATGGATACTTAAAAACTTGCTATGAGATTAGGTCTCATGGTCTTCTTTTACCACAGTAAGGTAAAAAATAGAACCAAAAAAAGTACAAGTACAGAAACAGTAATAGAAAAATGAGTTTAATCAGTTAATTTTGTGATGGACATTGATGGGAGAACCTGTCCAAGCTTGAGTAAATCACAAGGTGTGCTCTAGGATTGAGTAAGTATTCCTGAATGAATATTTCATCAGTGGTTAGTATCACCATAATCCTTTAACTTCATACATCAAACTTGATGAGCTTTCATAGCCTCCAGCAAACTTTGCTGAAGACCCATAAATGAAAAGAAATAAAGACAAAGGATTCAGGCATTCAAACTCCATACAAACTCTTAACACCCATCTCAGCTGATTTTTCTCTTTACTCCCTGTTCCATGTTTCCTTAATGTACATAGTTCCCTCCAAGACACTTTAACATCTGATTTCTAGTCATGCTTTAAGCTCAGGGGAAAACCCCTTCCTCTAAGTTCTGAGTGTTGAGTCTAACTCCCTTTCACTTCCCTCAGTTCCTACCCACAATTTAGCAGGAAGCCCTCCCTGCCTTCTCCACCCAGACTTTATCATTCAGAGATACTGTTATGGATTCTATTCACACTGTCCAGACAGAGGCTCTGCTCTCTAGAATCTTCTCTCCACAAAGGTCAGATGAACAGGAGGGAAGGACAGACAGACATCTGGCTCCAGTGCAAGAAGGAAGTTCTGAAGAGCAGGAGGGAGAGGAGCCAGGCTGCTCACCTGGTTGCAGACGGGCTTGTACTTGAGCCCCGGCTTGTTCAGGATCTTCTCCAGCTGCTTGTGGTTGAAGTTGGACACCCCGATGGACTTGGTCAGCCCTGCGTCCTTACACTTCTCCAGGGCCTGAGAGGGAGGGGTGGTGAACAGTCATGAACAGTCACTTGGAATGGGCAATAAAACAAGATTAATGGCTGAAAAAAATTATTAAAAGTGTCTCTTGTCAAAAATTAGCATTGATTAAAAGGAAGAAAAAGGTGGAAGAAGTTCATGACCCAAGAAGAATTACAGTTAGAAAAACCCTGCAGAAGACATAATACATGGAAAGAAATAGATGCCCATGTTACCATCCCAAATTCTCCTCCACTGTTCTTCTCTGTGAACATTTCAGGAATAGTTTCCTCTCCACAACCCTAGCATCCCAGCCCTTAGATTCATGAACTGCTGGATCTGATGGTCCACAGCCCATTCTCACAAGTGGAAGAAATGAAGGAGGTTCCCTCTCTCCTGGCTCCTCCCCTGGTTCTCTCCTCCTTGAACTCACCTCCCACGTGTGACAGAGATCCACTGAGTCAAGTATCAGTTTTCCATCTTCATCAGTTGGCAAAATTTGCTCCCCTGGCTGTAATAGAAGCAATCATTTTAGAGATGTTACAAAAGAGTTTCCCCACACTTAGCCAGACAGCCAGGCATGACTAAGACCTGGGCATCAAACCTCTATGAGGTAGGTTTACAGCATTCTAGATACTAACATTTGCAAACTGCTTTACAAATGGAGTTTTAAGGAATGTGTTTAGAAGGCAATTTTCCACTAATCTCTTTCACTTATGTTTTGATAAATAACAATTTTCCTACATTCTAATGGGGACTATCAATGATTTATTTGAATTTTTTTTTCTGCCTCTTTTACTTTCCTCTTGCAAAATACCTCTATTGTGCTGGGAGTGACTGTAAGTTATGCCTTACTTCTGGCATTAAAATTGCAAACTTGATCTGGGCTATAAATATTAGACTTCCTTTTCCCTTTGAGCATCAGGTGCCCTAGGGCAGGCATAGGAACCAGTAAGGCTCTCCTTAGGTTGATATGGAATGTGGAAGATCTAGACATGCTCTCAAATGTTCATGACCATGAGCTTTGAGGCCTCAAGGCCATATTTGCCACCAACTGAAAATGTTCAGTGAAAATAAAGTAAACCAAGAGTAATGTCATGATAAGAAATAGAAAAATGGAGCCATTTCTAAAAGTCCTGCAACTCAACTTTCCTCAGTGTAGAGTACATCCTACACTGTACTATGAAAAATACTTAAGTACTATGAAAAATCTTAAGTGGTTAAGTACCATGAAAAAATGTACTATGAAAAATCTTAAGTACTCAAGTACTGAAGCATTATGGAAAAAAGTACTATGAGAAATCTTAACCCAACCATCCATGGAAGCTGATAGACATTGTGACACATGAAATAAGATAGAGGTGATCACACAAATTGCCAACCTTCAGAGCCACTGGAGTATGAATAAGATAGAGATCAACATAGTCCAGTTGAAGGCTTTTCAGTGACTTTTCCAAGGCTAATTGGACCAACTCTGGTTGAAGGGATGTGGACCAAAGCTGCAGAGATTAAATAATAGATGTTACATTAAATGAAGGCAGTAGGTAATTTTGTTTGTCTTGTTTCATTTAATGATTAAACATTTTTATTGGTTAGACATGGATGACCACTGGGAAAAATGCTCCTTTTTTTTTTAGAGTTCCATTTTTTATCTAACCCACCCATGTAAATTTTATTATTTGACTGAACATATCATCAGTATATAATTCATAATAGGATGAAATTAATCAAGATAAATAACATTATAAAATAACTATCATGCCTATCATCTGAATTGTGTTTGATAGAGCGTAAAAGCACAAACTTAGTCTAATTCAATCAATCAGTCCTCTCAGAATTAATTAGCATTTTGTTTACACAACTGTAGGAAAAAAGTATTTTGAGAATATTAACATGAGCAGAACATAATTCAAGACACTTTGGCTAGATCTTGTGTAATATACAAAGTGCCTCTCCTAATGTTCTCTCTTACTCTTGGAGTTGAGAACTGAAATTCAGAATGTGAAGAAATTTGAGAAACTCGCACAGATGATAAGGAAAGCTATAATCTATTCACACTTCTGTATGAATCCTTAGACTATACTAAATCACACTTCTCTGATCTAGGCTCAGAGAAGGAAAGTGACTTCAAAATTTGAACATGGCAGTGAAGAAAGTTGTTATCACTTTCTATTTTTGGGCAGGGGAGGAGGAAACTACATTTAATATATAAATATGTGTGGAAAGAAAGCTGTATCAATAAACAACATTCACCTAATTACTGATCTTATTACATAATTGTCACCTGCATACAACTAGTTGTGCACATATGCACACACACAACACACAAAGCACCTTTGAAGTGTAGAATATGTCTTCTCTCTTCACAGTGCCATCGGCAATCTTGCTTCGAATGGCCTGGCCAACATACTCTTCATTTTTGTACGCATGAGCACAGTCAATGTGGCGGAACCCAACCTCTATAGCGAATTTGGTGACCTCCAGAGCTTCTCTCTTAGGAACCTACATAAGCAACAAACGTAGGAATTGAACATCCACATGATTAAGAAATTGCTGAGCCACAAGATTTGATCTTCCCAAGAGTCAACTTTTCTTTGTGCTTCTGGTTCATTCTAAATGTGTGGTGATGAACCCATGACAGTTTTCCTGAATGTTCCTGGTCAGTGATTAAATGGATGACCAGGAACCCTTCAATCCCAGGGGATCAGTGGTTGATCACAGGTATCAGACGACCCCAGGAAAAACTCCAGATTCAGTTTTTCTGGAAAAAATTGTAAGACTTAGCATAAAGTTGTAGTCATGGATACAATTTATACCATGAGATGCTTGAAGCAAAATCCACAAAGGTATAAAGTACCTGGTAAAAGCATAAAGAAAGGAGTACGTCAAGGCTGTATATTGTCACCCTGTTTATGTAACATATGCACAGTACATCATGCAAAATGCTGGCCTGCATGAAGAACAAGCTAGAATCAAGATTGCCTGGAGAAATATCAGTAACTTCAGACATCAGATGATACCACCCTTATGGCAGAAAGCAAGGGGAACTAAAGAGCCTCTTGAGGAAAGTGAAAGAGGAGAGTGAAAAAGCTGGCTTAAAACTCAACATTCAAAAAACTAAGATCATGGCATCCAATTCCATCACTGCATGGCAAATAGATGGAGAAATAATGGAAACAGTGATGACTTTATTTTCTTGGGCTTCAAAATCACTGCAGATGGTGACTGCAGCCATGAAATTAAAAAACCCTTGCTTCTTGGAAGAAGAAGCTAACCTAAGTAGCATAATAAAAAGCAGAGATATTACTTTGCCAGCAAAGGTCTGTCTAATCAAAGTTCCAGTTTTTCCGGTAGTCATGTATGGATGTGAGAGGTGGACTATAAATAAAGCTGAGTGCCAAAGAATTGATGCTTTTGATCTGTGGTATTGGAGAAGACACTTGAGACCCTTGGACTGCAAAGAGATCAAAATAGTCCATCCTAAAGAAAATCAGTTCTGAATATTCATTGGAAGGACTGATGTTGAAGCTGAAACTCCAATATTTTGGCCACCTGCTGTGAAGAACCAACTCATTGGAAAAGCTCCTGATGCTGGGAAAGATTGAAGGTAGGAGGAGAAGGGGACAACAGAGGATGAGATGGTTGGATGGCATCACTGACTTGGTGGACATGAATTTGAGCAAGCTCCAGGAGTTGGTGATGGAGAGGGAAGCCTGGCAAGATGCACTCCATGGGGTCGCAAATAGTTGGATACTACTGAGTGACTGAGTGACTGAACTGAGCTGAAAAGCATCAAGAGACCAGGTGAAAGCTTCTGGGACCTCTGTCTACCAGTGAAGCCACATAGAATACACCAAATAAAATCTGTATCTATTCAAGTTGTACAAAGCGATGTTCTCATATAAGTATCTATTGTTAATGATTAACACAATCATGCTAATAACAGATCTGTCACCTCACATAGATAACTTTTGGCTGTGGGGAGAATACTTAGTATTCAGCAAATCTCATGAATAGAATCCATTTTTTAAACTATATTTACCATGCTCTACATTACATCTCACAACTTATAACTGGAGGTCTGTATCCTTGACCATTATCTTGCCATTTGCCCCAGCATGTACTCAGTTTCTGGTCACCATTCCTCTACTCTCTGCTTCTGAGTTTCACTTGTTTAGATTCCACCAACAAAGAGATCAGGCAGTATTTGTCTTCCTACTTCTGGCTTACTTCACTTAGTTTAATATTCTCCAGGTTCCTCCACATTGTTGCAAAAGGCAAAAAGGATAACTTCTTTTATAAAGGCTGAATACTATTCCGTTTGTTTTTATGTGACTTAGAATCTTTCCTTTTTCAAGGAGGTAGATCCTTGGTCTAATTGCCCTCTTTTGGCTCTAGTCCCGGTTTTCCTTAAATGCAGGGGCACTCAGGGATGTATTGAGTAATGAACCGGTGAGCTTCAATAACAGCCTGAACCTTTCCCTACCCTCACTCCACATTGCTCTACAAAGTAAACAAGCACTGTCTTCTATCTCCAAAGTATTTCTGAATATTTCCTTCTGTTTGTAGATGAAAACAGCGGGACTCAAAGTTTAAGGATCAGTTCCTTGTCACAACCACATACTCTTAAGGACAAGATGGACAGCCGATTTTCTGGCTTCCAGTCTAGAGTCTTGTCCACTAGGTCCTCTTATGCACAAGGACTGAAGAGTATAATAAAAATAAAATACAAACCCTACAATTGAAACCTTGCCTGAAAGAATGTAGCTTATCCCCTCTAATGAAGCTATACTTTCCATTAGAAGAAGTTTCCAAGCAGAAACAGAAGTACAGGGCAAAACACTGGAGTGTTTCTTGCCTGGCACTGAGCAGGTATCTCACAGTAGAAAAGCAATCTCTCCCATTAGTTTTCAGTCACCTCATCTTCGGGACCTTCCACCTCAAATACTTCTCTGGATCATGTTTTTTGGAAGAAGGAAAGGGTTCTGGAATTAATGAAACATACAGATAAACCCCACCATTATAGTGCTCCTCAAAGCAAAGCAGCTGACAGTCAGTGTTCTTGACAGCCGAGTCTCACCTCTTCTGCCAAGCTGGGAAAGAGACAGAAACTGGAGGGGAACCCAGAGTAATCTGCAGGTGAGCACAGCCTCAGACCCTGATGCAGAGTGGAGACTGGATGCTCTCTCCTGTTTCACAGGGCATGGTTCTAGCCTGGTTAGTGGAACCATGTGATCCTCCCAGAGTCACACAGGAGCTCAGTGCTTGACAACCCAAGTCCCTTCTGCTCATGTCACATCCACTACTATTTATATCTCAACCCCAAACCACTACTCTTACCTCCTTAGGTGCATAGGTTCCAAATCCCAGGATAGGAATGAAGTGGCCATCATTAAGCTTCACCCTCTGACATTGGGTTTCCATTGCCTGTTGCTCCTCTGAGTAAGCAGACTCTGATTTTTTTCTTTTGCCTTCACAGGTTATAAATAATAGGAAGGTAACGCCCCAGCTGCACTGTCCAATGTTAGCAGATACATTGTAGGAGGAGCATGATTAAATCAGTTCCCACAGAGTAAGAAGAGAATTAAAGCCAGTTAACTTGCTTGGGCTTTTCTATCAGTATAATCTTAAGATACATTTAGATGAGGTTGGCTGAACAAGCATTAACTGTATATTAGACTAGAAACTTCCACATAGCAATCTTTTTTCATTTTTCTAATTATGAAGCTGAATCTTACAGTACAAATATGCACAGAGAGTCACACAATTTAAAGGAATGATTAATAAGCATTTTAAAAAATCTTATCCCTTCATAAAGAATGAAAACTTCAAATGAAACTAAATTTGCCTTTTATTTTTCCCACCAGCAAAATTATTTTGCTTTACAGACCTGACGGTGGTGAAATCCTGAAAAGGACACCAAAACCACACATTCTGGCCAGTTTTTGTATACCATGTACAGTGTGCAAACAGACTGTTAGAGGGTTTATACCTTGAACTTAGTTATATAACTTTTAGAAAGCTATCATAGTGTAAATTATACATATTTTATATACTTTGCTATTTTGCTCAACCTTACCCATGAAAGAAAAACTTGTAAGCAAGTTAAATTGTAACAACTTTGGGATGAGTAAGGGAAACTGTGGGGCACTGATATGGTGAAATGTTGTGAAACCAAATAAAATTTAACAGAGTGACGTGAGCAAAATGGTGGGCTAGGATGTATTGAATTCTCCCTTAGAAACATGAGAAAACAATCAGAACCCAGATGAAAAATGTCATATGAGCGCTAGAGAATAGTCAAACAAAATCTATGGCAACAAAGTGAACACATAATTATGAAAAATCCAGAAGAGGATAAAGGGACATTTTATGGTGGTTTTACTCACCTGTACCCTCCTCCTGCCTGGGGCAGTGCAATCTTGATCTGTAAAGAGCAGTGGCTCAGCTCCCTCAAACCAGAGTGATTACAGAAAACCTTAATGCAATGTTCCAACCTACTTGGGGACAGCCTGAAGATGAATGTCCCCTTTACCTAAACAAGCTTAAACTGAAGAGCAGCTGGAGTGTCTCATTAGAGCTGCAGGGGGACTATACATATGTGGGACCAGGGACAAAAGATTAAGGGTGGAGACCTAGAGTAGACTATGTAAAACCATGAGTAGAACTGGCATGTGGATTTGAGGGACATAGGGCATTCAAAAACAGCCATATATTCATGGGAATAAAACAGCCACCCATGGGCCAGGCAAGATGTTGACTCAGAAATAAACTGAGCAGCCCTTGGCTTTCCTTTGGACTGATCCCAGGCAAGGAGCCTGCCAAGTTAACTAGTGAAGTCCAGTCATGACGTGGAGGAAATCAACCAAGAGTGAGTAGTTGCCTGTTGTTTCAGTACCCAATGATGAATGCACACACACAGACAGGAACACACACACACACGACAGAAAGAAAAGGAAAGAAGGAGAAAGAAAGAAAAAAAGAAAAAGGAAACCATAGTCCAGGAAAGGAGGAAAATAAATTGGCACCGACTCTTCCTGAACAGTCACAGGAGCCACAGTTAGTGAACAGTGAGTGTCACAAGCTGTCCTAGGGAGGAGCTCCAGGTGGGCAAGAGGAAGCTGAGCTCAGTGCCCCCAGAAGCACATCAGGGTCACATCTCCTGAAAACACACGACACCAGCAGGAAGCCTCATCCACTCCAAGGCTGTACAGGACTGTCCTCACAGAGCTGGGTGGGAAGGGGAGAGAAGCCGTCAGGTCAGGACTGAGCCCCCAGGAGGGCCCCAGATGAGAAGGGGGGACAGGGGCTCAGAGGTCCTCCCTGGAGAGACCCGTGCACACCATGCACTGGGCACCACAGCCCTAGGACAACCCCAGGAGGTCACGGCCCCATAGCTGCTGTGAACCCAGGGGGACCCAAAGGAGATCTGCAAGAACCTCAACTCCAAACCCTAGATGGTTGAAGATTAGTTCAAGGCATAAATCCAAACACTATAGAAAACATTCTGAGTTTAGAAGAGAAGAGGTGGTATTCAAGATAAACTCAATTATAGTGATTAAATATAAAAAATCTCAATGTTGTATCAATAGGGAGGCATAACCAGGAATAATATTATGGAAATAGTAAACAAAAACGACTAAGGGATACCATGCAATGTCTGTCAGTTGAGCAAAGACAATGTGTGGTCAAGTGTTGACAGAAAATGTTATTCTATTCAGCTTTATCACAAATATGATTTGCAATGATTTTTTTTTTCCATCCTGTGGTTTGTCTTTCCCCCGTCTGGTAATTTGTTTCAGTGCGAAACAGTTTTGAATTTGGATAAAGACTAATAATAATTTTTTCTTTTATTGCCTGTACGTTGGTGTCAAATCCCCCAAATTGTGACCATATCCAATGATGAGAAAGTTTTTCCAGAGGTTTTCTTCTGCAAGTTTCATACTTGTATATTGTATGTCTAGATCTCAGAAGAATTTGGAGTTGCTTTTTCTATAAGGTCAACTCCCAACTTCTTTTTGCATGTGGATATCTAGTTTTCCCATCACTGGCAGTTGAAAAGAGTGTCCTTCATAACTGTATCTATCCATTTAAAACAGATGTCATTTAAGTTCATGCACACTCTGAAAGATCTGGGTTTTCCTTGTAGCTCAGTTGGTAAAGAATCTGCCTGCAATGAAGGAGGCCCGGGTTGGATACCTGAGTTAGGAAAATCCCCTGGAAAAGCAAATGGCAACCCACTCCAGTATTCTTGCCTGGGAAATCCCATGGACTGAGGAGCCTAGTGGGCTACAGTCCGTGGGGTGGTTTGTAAAGAGTCTGACATGACTGAGAGGCTGACACTCACCATTTACTGTAGGGTCAGTTTAGTGAGGATCTCAGCTGTGCTTCTCTAGGAAACTCTGTCTCTTCTTCAATTCTGCATGACAATATTACTGGGTTGAAAGTCCTTGGTTGTAGATATTTTTATCCTTTCAGTATTTTAAATATATTATGTAACTCCATTCTGGCCTACAATATTTCAGCTGCAAATCAATTGAGAGCCTTGCGGGGATTCCTTTACATGAGACTCAGTTTTTCTCTTGCTCCCTTTGAAATTTTCTCTTTAATATTTGGCAGCTTAAATCAGAGCAAAAAAAGAAGTAAAAGGAATCCAGATAGGAAAAGACGAAGTGAAACTCTCGCTGTTTGCAGATGACATGATCCTCTACATAGAAAACCCTAAAGACTCTACCAGAAAATTACTAGAGCTAATCAATGACTATAGCAAAGTGGCAGGATATAAAATTAACACACAGAAATCCCTTGCATTCCTATACACTAGCAATGAAAAAACAGAAAGAGAAATTAAGGAAACAATACCATTCACCATTGCAACAAAAAGAATAAAATACTTAGGAGTATATCTACCTAAAGAAACAAAAGACCTATACATAGAAAACTATAAAACACTGATGAAAGAAATCAAAGAAGACACAAGCAGATGGAGAAACATACCATGTTCATGGATTGGAAGAATCAATATTGTCAAAATGGCTATTCTACCAAAAGCAATCTATAGATTCAATGCAATCCCTATCAAGCTACCAACAGTATTTTTCCAGAACTAGAACAAATAACTTCACAATTTGTATGGAAATACAAAAAACCTCAAATAGCTAAAGTAATCTTGAGAAAGAAGAATGGAACTGGAGGAATCAACCTGCCTGACTTCAGGCTCTACTACAAAGCCACAATCATCAAGACAGTATGGTACTGGCACAAAGACAGAAATATAGGTCAATGGAACAGAATATAAAGTCCAGAGATAAATCCACGAACCTATGGACACCTTATCTTCCACAAAGGAGGCAAGGATATACAATGGAAAAAAGACAATCTCTTTAACAAGTGGTGCTGGGAAAACTGGTCAACCACTTGTAAAAGAATGAAACTAGAACACTTTCTAACACCATACACAAAAATAAACTCAAAATGGATTCAAGATCTAAATGTAAGACCAGAAACTGTAAAACTCCTAGAGGAGAACATAGGCAAAACACTCTCTGACATAAATCACAGCAGGATCCTCTATGACCCACCTCCCAGAATATTGGAAATAAAAGCAAAAATAAACAAATGGGACCTAAGTAAACTTAAAAGCTTTTGCACAACAAAGGAAACTGTAAGTAAGGTGAAAAGACAGCCCTCAGATTGGGAGAAAATAATAGCAAATGAAGCAACAGACAAAGGATTAATCTCAAAAATATACAAGAAACTCCTGAAGCTCAATTCCAGAAAAATAAATGAACAAATCAAAAAATGGGCCAAAGAACTAAACAGACATTTCTCCAAAGAAGACATACAGATGGCTAAAAAACACATGAAAAGATGCTCAACACCACTCATTATCAGAGAAATGCAAATCAAAACCACAATGAGGTACCATTACATGCCAGTCAGAATGGCTGCTATCCAAAAGTCTACAAGTAATAAATGCTGGAGAGGGTGTGGAGAAAACGAAACCCTCTTACACTGTTGGTGGGAATGCAATCTAGTACAGCCACTATGGAGAACAGTGTGGAGATTCCTTAAAAAACTGGAAATAGAACTGCCATATGACCCAGCAATCCCACTGCTGGGCATACACACTGAGGAAACCAGATCTGAAAGAGACACGTGCACCCCAATATTCATCGCAGCACTGTTTATAATAGCCAGGACATGGAAGCAACCTAGATGCCCATCAGCACATGAATGGATAAGGAAGCTGTGGTACATATACACAATGGAATATTACTCAGCCGTTAAAAAGAATTCATTTGAATCAGTTCTAATGAGATGGATGAAACTGGAGCCCATTATACAGAGTGAAGTAAGCCAGAAAGGTAAAGAACATTACAGCATACTAACACATATATAAGGAATTTAGAAAGATGATAATG